TTGAGGGCTTTCATCACTTGACAGGTTGTGCATGTCTTCCTTGAGTGAGACTTGAACTAATTCATCACATAAGAGTTCAAACATAGATTTAAGTCACTCCATCATATGATTCAACAAAGGTTTCATCCTCCTCACAATATAGGGTACCACGGGCTGGACCAGATGGAGGTGTTACTTGATTGAATTTGGTAGACTGAGTTTTGCTCGAGATCCTTCTTTACTTGTAGAACAGAGGACCAGAAAACAGAGCGAGGTCCATTGCTTTTTGTAGTCCAAAAAGAATTATTTGGGAAATATTTTGCTTGAAGGATGGCAGTGAGGAAACTGTTTTTGTTGGTCACTATGTTCTAAGCAGCTTTAGTGGTGAGGCTCTTCTTTAAAGTGTAAAGGTCTCTAATTCCCAAGCCTCCATTTTCTCTGGATCGATAAATGTCCTCAGAAGAGCGGAAGGCAATGGGGGAAGTAGTATTGTCATCTTGGACACGTGGCCACCAAAATCTTCTAATGATGGCAATAATCCTTTCCACAAAACTCTTGGAGAAGAGGATAGTTGACATGTAATATATAATGGATGCAAGAACAAATTTGATGTAGCTGAGTCGCCCAGCATGGTTTAACATATTTGCTTTGACTGTGATCAGCTTGGCCCTGAATTTGTTGATGATGAACTCATAGGCTTTGGTTCTGTCTCTATGGTTGAAGATCACGGGGGTGTCCCAGGTGCATGGTGTTGGGTAGGAGAAGATAGATTTGATTTGGTCTTTGGTGTTGTTGTCAACTCTCTTGCTAAAAAGAGTGGCTAATTTTTGGAAGTTTGGAATTTAGGCATTTAGCCCGAAGCAGCTGAGAGCTCTTGAAAAATATGGCGAATGGTGGTAGCTTCTGCAACTGAGGCATTGCCACAAAGAATCACATCATCTAGAAAAAGCATGGAGTGGATAGGAGGAAGTTTGGACCCAAAGAGATACCTGTCCGGTTGCTATTTTGCATCTCAGATTGAAGCCTATTGGACAGTTGATTAATTGCGATAACAAAAAGGTGATAAGGGACAGCCTTGGTGAATACCTCATTGCGCTTGAAAAGTAGGCATGGCTGTCCATTGACAAGGACCGAGAATGTGGGAGTGGATATACAGGTTCTGATGAGGTTGATGAAATAACCATGATACAGTGGCGATAAAATCCCATTCCAGACGATCAAAAGCTTTTGCCAGATCCAACTTGAGAAGGAAATCATTTTGATTCCAGGTGGTTAAGTTAAAAGAGTGAATGACCTTTTCATTTTTTTGTGGCATGTATTTATGTCGGTGTTTCGAACAGACACTAACTAGTAAATTTATATTTGTTACGCGTTAACCTCGGATGGTGTACTAAAGGACACAAGGTTTATATTGGTTCAGACAGAACATCCCTACGTCCAATTTGCTACTGCTCGTGTTATTAGTACCGAAAAGGTTCATAGTAGGGGTACAAACGGTCGAGAGAGGGACAAGACCCAAGTCTGTGATGAAAAGGTCGAAAGGATGCCAAGAGCCCGGTCGCTGCTTGACTATAGGTTGTCTGTGGAATTGATCCGTCCCCCTAGTGGGGCATCCTGCCCTCCCTTTTATAGACTAAGGGGGGAGTAGGGGTTACAGATGGGAGAAAGAGGAAAAAAGCTAAAGGTAGGTGTCGGGTCTTCCTTTTTCCTTGAGCCTGTCCTGTTGTCATGGCAGACCACGCCAGGGATAGCATTTTTCGCTGATCCTGATAGGGCTGGGCTCTGGCTTTGTTTCAGCGAGTGGTCACGTCCCATCCTCCCCCGACGGACGGTGCGGTGTGTCAGGGTGCTGAGCCATGACTCTGCGGGGAGTAGACGGGGAAGTGACTATTCGCCTGTTACTGTTGATGACGTGAGTTCTCTCTTGGACTGTAATGGTTGTCGTATGCCTGTGTTAGTATCCACGCCCGAGGGCTAATGGCGGTGCCTACAACACTGTAGGACAAAAGTCGACGTCTACAACACTGTTCGGGCTCTGTTAGGTCGGAAAGGGCTTAAAGCGCACGTCCCGTCGTATCCTAACGGTACCTTCCTGCAGGCATGCAGGGCATGGTCCTTGGTACTGCAGTTGACTCGAATGTCCTATTGTACCATGTGCTCGTCATTATGAAGGAGCAGAGCGTAGACGTCGGGTGAGGTGGAGTCACCCTCGACCATCCAGGCGAGGAGTCGACCCTCACCGGCCGCGAGGCGGAGCCAGCCCTCGGTATCGGCGAGGTGGAGCCCGCCCTCGACCATCGAAGCGAGGCGAGCCTGCCCCGCCCTCGGACGCGTCAAGGCGGCGAGTAGTCTAGCCCTTGGCGGTCGGGCGAGGCGGAACCAATCTTCTATCATTCAAGCAAGTGTAATAGCGTTCTTGTCTGACTAGAAATATCAACGTTTGATGGTTATTAGTTCCACCTCATTGGGTACCCCGGTATTAGGTCCCCAACAATTTACTTCTATCTGGTTATTTTCTTTTCATAGTGGAATGCTATAGCTCAAGGAATAACGAGTGGATAGAATGCCCCTCGTTGAACCTCAAGAAAGGAAGTCTCGCTGGTATCAGTCTTATAATAATAATAGCAAAATATATGTGGAAGTTGAGATGTTTGATCCATATCTTTGGGAAATGGATTGGCAATCAATCAAAACAAACGATAGCTTTACCATTCAAGCCTCAGCCTCCGCTGTCTTCTTCAGCACCGCCAACTCTCCTCCCACCATGACGATGAAGTCCAGGTCACCGAAACGCACGTGTGCGCCTGGGACCCTGCTGATTGCGTGGCTAGCCATCCAAGGCCTGATTTGGAACGCACAAAGGCCCCTACCTGGCGCGCCAACTGTCGGTGTTTTGAACAAACACCAACTAGTAAATTTATATTTGTTGCGCATTAGGCTCGGATGGTGTACTAAAGGACACAAGGTTTATACTGGTTCAGGCAGAACATCCCGACGTCCAGTTTGCTGTTGCTCGTGTTATTAGTACCAAAAAAGGTTCGTAGTAGGGGGTACAAACGATCGAGAGAGGGACAGGTCCCAAGTCTCTGATAAAAAGGTCAAAAGGATGCCAAGAGCTCGGTTGCTGCTTGGTTGTATGTTGTCTGTGGAATTGATCCTTCCCCCTAGTGGGGCGTCCTGCCCTCCCTTTTATAGACCAAGGGGGGAGCAGGGTTTACAGATGGGAGAAAGACAAAAAAACCCAAAGGTAGAGAATATCCTTCGAAGGTGCCGTGTCTTCCTTTTCCCTTGAGCCTGCCCTGTTGTCATGGCAGACCACGCCAGGGATAGCATGCTTCGCTGATCCTGATAGGGCCAGGCTCTGGCTTTGTTTCAGCGAGTGGTCACGTCCCATCCTCCCCCGACGGATGGTGCGGTGTGTTAGGGTCCCGAGCCTTGACTCTACGGGGAGTAGACGGGGAAGTGACTATTCGTCTGTTACTGTTGATGACGTGAGTTCTCTCTTGGACTGTAGTGGTTGTCGTATGCCTGTGTTAGTATCCATGCTCGAGGGCTGATGGCGGTGTCTACAACACTTTAGGACAAAAGTCAGCGCCTACAACACTGTTCGGGCTCCGTTAGGTCGAAAAGGGCTTAAAGCGCCCGTCCCGTCGTATCCTGATGGTACCTTCCTGCAGGCGTGTAGGGCATGGTCCTTGGTACTGCGGTTGACTCGAATGTCCTGTCGTACCCTGTGCTCGTCATTATGAAGGAGCAGAGCGCAGACGTCAGGTGAGGCGGAGCCAGCCCTCAGCCGTCGGGCGAGGCGGAGCCTGCCCTCAAACGCCGGGCGAGGCGGAGCCAGCCCTCAGGCGTCGGACGAGGCGGAGTCTAGCCCTTAGAGGTCGGGCGAGGCGGAACCAATCTTCCGTTGTTCGGGCAAGAAATGTAGTAGCGTTCTTGTCTGACCGGAAACGTTAACGTTTGATGGTTATTAGTTCCACCTCATTGGGTACCTCGGTATTAGGTCCCCGACAATTTACTTCTATCTGGTTATTTTCTTTTCATAGTGGAATGCTATAGCTCAAGGAATAACGAGTGGATAGAATGCCCCTCGTTGAACCTCAAGAAAGGAAGTCTCGCTGGTATCAGTCTTATAATAATAATAGCAAAATATATGTGCAAGTTGAGATGTTTGATCCATACCTTTGGGAAATGGATTGGCAATCAATCAAAACAAACGATAGCTTTACCGTTCAAGCCTCAGCCTCCGCTGTCTTCTTCAGCACCGGCACATCAGCGTCGTGGAAAGCGTTAGACTTCTTTGACCAGCGTTTAGTTTAAGCGTGCATTGCGTCCTTTACGAGGAAACTTGAGCCAATTTTATTTATTTATTTTAAAATGGAACTTGAGCCCACTTTGAGTGCGAAGGATTGAACGACTTGTAATGGCAAATAACACATTGAGCCGATTTGAGTGCACATGAAGGAACATACTTATAAGAACAAATTGGATATAAGTAGCCCTTTCATGCACAAATGTGCATCCTTCCATACATCATATGTTGAGTTGGAATTAACAATAATAATAAATAAGCAAGGAAAAAAGAACTAAAACAAAAGCAAGGACCAGTTGGGCAACTAAATTTGTTAACAGAAGCCAATTCAGAACCACTGCATAGCAATGCTTATTACCTTATTTATCTGTAGCAAAAGGCACTTACATGACCTCTTATGACAGATATGCCAGCACAAAAACAACAGACTACACAACTACAAGGTAGGAAACTACTTAAAAGATTACCATAACAGAGTACATCAAACAAGCACACTAAAGATAGCTGACGGCTTACAAAAAGATAGAACACAGGAGACCATCACATAGATAACACCTATCACCCTTGTACTAGCTCATATGCATGTCAAAGAAAGGCAGGGAGGCGGTGCTTGCTGAAATTTAGATCAATACACAGTCCTGCCATCACCATCCAGGATCATATCCTTGAAAGCACCACCACTAGGGATCATAGGCAACACATGCTCCTAGTGCGGGACGATTATATCCAAGAGGTACGGCCCTGGAGTCTCAAGCATCTTCTTGATTGCTGCATGGACTTCGCTCTTCTTTGTCACACGGACTGCTGGAATGTTGAACCCTTTGGCAATTGTCACGAAATCTGGATATATCTCACTTTCATTCTCTGGGTTTCCCAAGTATGTGTGTGCTCTGTTGGCCTTATAGAACCTGTCCTCCCACTACACCACCATCCCAAGGTGCTGGTTGTTTAGCACAAAGACCTTCACTGGGAGGTTCTCAATTCGGATCATAGCTAGCTCCTGAATGTTCATGAGGAAGCTACCATCTCCGTCGATGTCAACAACAGTGACACCTGGGTTGGCCACAGCGGCACCAGCAGCAGCCGGCAAACCAAATCCCATAGCCCCAAGACCAGCCGAAGACAACCACTGCCTTGGCCGCTTGTAAGTGTAGTACTGTGCCGCCCACATCTGGTGCAGACCAACTGTAACACCCAAAAATTTTTACCACAAATTAGCAATTAATTCTTAGCATTTATTACATTTTCTAGGTATTCTTAACTTAGGCCAAATAAATAAATATTGAATAAATAAAATAAACTATAAGTTTAGAAACTTGTTTGTTGCATTCATGCTGAATCATTTGGGTTTTGATTGAGTGTAGGGCTAGAAGATTTGAAATTTGTATTCAAAACTTATTTGAATTTGGCTTAAAAATGAAAATGGAGAAAATAGAATTTGATAAACATTTGATTTGAAAAAAAAAAGGAGAAAGTCACCTTCTGGCCCAGCTAGCCCGGCCTTCTTCTCCCTCCCCCTTTCCCGGCCTGCCCTGCCTGGCGCGGCCCACTCGGTGGCTGCCCCGCGCGGCCCGGTTTGCCGGCCCACCAGCGCAGCCAGCTCGCACGCGGCCCAGCTGGCCACCCACGTCGCTCGCCCTCTCCCTTTCTCTCTCGCTGCACTCCGGCCCCACCGGTCAGCGCCCTTTCTTCTTTCCTTTCTTCTTCCCCGAGCTTCCTTTTTCCTCCCCGGTTCTTTCCTTTCTCCGGCCGCCGTCAGCGCTGCTCGGATGGAAGGCCACCGCCGTCACCCGCACATGGCAGGTGACCAATCCCGCCCGCTCTCCTTCCTTTTCTCTGCGCACAGCCGGCCTATAAAGCCCCAACCGAGCGCCTCCCTCCTCCCTTTGGACGACCGCCGCTCGAAGCTCACCACTGCCGCCGGCGAACTTCCCCTCCCCGAGCACTATCCTCGTCGCCGAAGCCACCCGGCACCGCCAGATACTCCCACGCCCATAGGTACCTCCACCTCTGGTTTTTGGTCACGTTTTTGGTCGATTTCGCCTTCACCCGCCCTCCCTCTCTCTCCAGATCGCGGCGCCGTCGACGACTCGCCCGGAGCTCTCCAGACGCCGCGCTCCCCTCCAGACGCATCGCGGTGAGCCCTCGTCCCTCCTCTGCGCTCAGTTCATCAATTTGTGCGCTAGGATGCCGTGAGCCGTGAGCTCAACCACCAGCCATGGCGCCACCGCTGGGAATGCCACCCGGCGTGATGCCCGCCCGCTCGGTACCCTAGCGACCAAGATCACCGCGCATTGTCTAGGTGTAGTCCGCGTCGAGTTTGGTCGTCGGAATCACCGAACCGGTGACCACCGACAAGCTCGCACCGTCGGCGACAATGGCGCCATTGTCGCGAGTCTCTTCCCCGCGACCACGCTGCCCCTCACTCCTCTCGCGCCGTCGGATCGGGAATGATCGGTCCAGATTAAGTGCATTCTTCGGGATTATAACCGGTCCACCGGTTGGACCATGCACTCGGTCCACAAAGAATGGTCAGTCACCGGTCCACCGCCGTGTGGTGCATCAAGGCCATCCACCTGCGACATGTGGCGGCCGAGTCAAGAATGAGTCAAACGCAGCCAAAGCCATGCGCATCTTGCGAGAAAAAGCCCCGCGTTTTCCAAAGAATCAACCCGCGGTCCAAATTCCAGTTCAAACTAATTTTTATTTAGTCCTCGCTTATTCATTCAAGTCCTCGAGTTTCTAGAAATAGTAAGCCCGGTCCAGATTTCATTTAAATTCAGAATTTTTAATTATTTTAATTCGAAAATAGGTTAGTTTATTTACAGAATTGCCATTACATCTTATTTCATGCATAACTTTCACGTTTTAAGTCCGATTTGAGTGATTCTTTCGCTCATGTGTTCGTAGAAATGCGTAGAACAGATCTATAAGTTTTTCAACATATGTTTTCACTGTTTGGTGTACTGTTCTAATAGAGTTCTATCTTGTATGCATGTAATGATTGGAATGATGCTTGATTGATGATTGGATCACGATTAGAGGGTGAGCCATTCGAGGTGACTGAGGACCCCAAAGGGATCAAAGCAGTACTCTGTGACGACTTTGAGGAAGGCAAGTGTACCAAAGGCCCCTTGTTACCTATGAACTACTACCACTTACATTCATGCATGTGTTTAATTTGAATTGCCTTTAAGGACTTTACCTAGATGATTCATTGTACCACATATCCTTGATACCTGGGTTTATTGGGTAGGCATTTTGGATAGATGCTGCAGCGCTTAACATGAAGTAATTGTTAAACATACTTAAAGACTATATGCAATGTGATAAAATGGAACTTTTTAGCAACATATAAGGGGCCGGAGTACGGGGTTGAGTACTCTAGTGCCTCTCCATAAGGACTTAATACTGGGCGGCAACCCAGAGGGACCGTACAACCCCGAAAGTGTCAAATGGCTCGACTTTAACCTATTATCTAGTTTGTACTAGCTCGTCTGTAGCTCCAAAGAAGGGGTAAGAGGGTATCTTTCCTTTTTCTCATTAGGGTGTGCACCGTGTCTTTGCGATGCCCACGTGTGCCATTCCTTTGTAGCTACGATCCGTTAGTGCAACTAGCTAAGGGTTTCATAGTGAAACTCGCCACACTTCCTTGGAAGAGGTGTAGTGGGTCTCGCGAACCCCGGCATTGGGAATCACGGCTCGGTGGGTAAAGATGTACAATTTCTGCAGAAATAATTAACCTGTTATAACAGCCGTGCTCACGGATACGAGCGGTCTGGATCCTTCGAGATTAGTGGTTACTGTGGATGATGGATGGTTGGGAATTGAGATAAAACTTGATGATACTTAAATACCACTTGGGAATTGGGACTATTCATTAAAGTAGTAATTCAGGTTGCTAAAATTAATCAACTAAAATTATGAACCGCATCAAACAATGTCAAGCCTATTTGAGCCTCATAGATCCCTTTGTTATACTTGCTAAGCATGGTGAGCTTACACTTGCTTTACATCAATGAAAATCCTGATGGGTAACGAGATAATGGATATGACGAGTTTCCTGGAGGATGTCCAGGACTACTAGGAAGACGCTCACCGCTTGGAGTCCCCATGGCGCGCTTGGGCTAGTTATTTCATTTGTGTTTGTAATAATATTGCCATTGAGCAAACTTTGTATTAACTTTTATGATGAGATATGCGATGTAATAAGTACTTTACTTTGATATTATTGCAATTTGTGATATATGTGTGGGTTTGGACATCCTGGGCACACATATATGAGTACTTGGTTTTGCTTTGCAAAATTGGGTGCGACAAATTGGTATCAAAGCTATAACTGACTGTAGGACGAACAACCTAGTTAGAAATGGACGTTTCTAGGATCACATTATCTTTATTTTACTACTTTAATTTGCTATAAAATTTTTGCTTATATTCTGTTCTTTATCTATTGCCAAAAAATTATTTTGTTCTAATGCTCAACCTTTTCATTCTTATAGATGGCCCGCACTAAGTCGACCACAAGCTGAAGAGGACCCTTCCGATGCCCACCAGAGGACCAGGTTCACTTTGGGCAAGCGTGTGCTTTCAAGACATCTGGTGGAAGCCCCGAGGAACCCGGAAGAGGAACCACCTGTGGAGGTGCCCATGGGGGAACCTCTGGAGGACGTGCTTGAAGACCCGATGGACGAAGAAACAGAAGAGGGGCCTATGTTCGAGGAGCCCATTGAGATAGAAGAGTCTGAGGAGGATCCTATGGAGGAGCAGGAACAGGATGGCCTGGAGGGAGCCGGTGACCCCGACGATGGAGATGACTCACGATGATTCCGATCGCCGATGGGGGTGATGATGGTGGAGATGGTGGTGATGGTGGAGACGGTGGAAATGGGGTGATGACAGTGATGATGATCACAATGCACTGTTGGCTCAGGGATGGACTGTGGAGATCCACTACGACATGGAGGGTGATGCCTACTATCACCCCAGGCTACTCGCACTTGTGCAACGCTACCACCCCGGAGGCAATCGCTTCAAAGACAGATTTGAGCATTGGACCCACCCCGACTACCTCGGCTTCGGGAGACAGAGGTGTACATCCGAGAGGGGACTCGGTGCGCTTACATCCACCGCGCCATCATCATCACACGGCTCACACGCGAGGCCGTCATCGTGGATGCAGCTCGACAGTATTGGTGGTCAACCGCACATCGCCACTTCGACGACATCGCTTTGGGAGGACGACCGATATCTTCCCGCCGCCGGAGCGGACACCACATGCAACATCGCTGCACCACTCGGAGAGGCGAACCCGAGGCTGAGGCCTACCTTGTTGTGCTTGGCTGAGATCAACACCGACTTGGATCGCACCTAGGACGAGCTCGACGTCATGGGGAGGGCCTACCTACAGACTTCTTGGCGTGAGAACGCTACACCAAGCAAAGAACTAGGTGGTCCAGATGTAGAAGCGCCAGAGTACCTCGTCCACGCCCCGAGGACCAGAGAGGAGAGTCCGGAGACCCCAGCACCAGCACCACCGTCGACCCGCACTCCATAGGAGAGTCTTAAAAATATGTAATAAGCACGCCAGTAGCTACGCGAGAGAGTATTTAGTTTCTTTCTTTTTAATGGTTGGACAAGTGTTAGTTGCATGGTTGGATGTTTATCAATATGAATAATGTTTGATTTGGATCTTTGATATGATTGTGATGACTTGTGGGCATGTCCACGGTCATTTAGTTAAGGTTAAGGTTTAGGAATATTATGAATAAATAGTTGGGTTTCATTTTATCATGCTGTCCATTCTTTATCAATCTGAGCAGTCTGTCTTTATCAGTTCATATCTCATAATATAATTGTCCAATGGTCATGAAATTTATATGGAGATAAGTAGACTTCAACATCATTCTTTTTGCTCTGGAATCACCTCAATACCTATTATAAATTGTGAAATACAGCTGTTTTAAGATGAGGATTATGTGCTGTCAGAATTCTGGAACAGTACTGCTTGTCGTCTGTATTTGACAAAGTAAACGTCAGAATCTGGAAAAGTGTTCTAAATCAAAGTTGTAGAGAATTTCATAAGCTGTCCAGAAAGGTAAAATACGTAATCATATGATAAACAGAGAGTGAGATATGCTCGTTTTACCACACTGCTGTTATCCAACTCGC